AATAATATGCTAAAGCTAGCAGCTGGTGCCAAGGGAAGGATGAGAGATATGTGGTAGAAAGCTACCCGCCTCTGAGCCCAGCCTAGAATCAGCCGATTGCCCCCCTCAAACTACAGACACAGGGGTTAGGAAATGCACACTGTTGTATAAAACAGATTTTCTGGTTGTTTGTAATGCAGCATCACTGTAAGCACCAACTGGTACATACACCATAGTAAAACTTCACCTGAAATTTATGGTTAAAATACTGCTTGCTTTGTTTTCTTGATACATTATAAGTAATTTATACCTGATTTTTTTTTATTAGACTCTAAGATCCTCAAAGCAAGGTCCTATTACATTCCCAGTGTCCAGGATTTATTCATGAGTCTGCATCGTGTTCTAAACCCCAGGCAGATACAATGGTAAACAATATACATTCTAGCCATCAATCTGCAACTGTAGATTCTTCCCATCTAGCATCTGGGTTAGTTTGCTTTTGGCCACAGGTGATCATAAAGTTTACTTTTGCAGCTAGAAGTATATCAGGTCAGTAATGAACTCTGAACCACCTGAGTGTTATTTGCTTAAGTATAGATGAACTGGAATCACTGCATCTTTCAGTAGTGGAAGGGACTGACAAGACCATTGAATTACTGGGTTTTAATCCTGGCCAATTACCAGAGCCTTAAAAATTACAGGTTCCGAATCTTCATCTACAAATATTTGATTGAATCCTCTAGTACAAGGCCTAGGCATCTGTGTTAAAAATGTCTCAGAGTAATGCTGACAATCACAAGAATTGAGGGCCCACCACTCGCATTTAGTAGAACCCCTCCATCCAATGATTGAATGTCTTCTACTGAGTTGAACTAAGGGTTTATAACGACATTAATAAACCCCACAAGGGGACCATGTCCAGGGAACTACATGTATCAGTTGGATACGTTAGTATAACAAACCATTCCAAAACTCAGTAGCTTAAAACAATAAGCATTTATTATTGCTTATGAGTCTATGGATCTGGATGGATTTGTCTGATCTCTGCTGGGCCCACTGAAGTGTCTGACATTAGCTGGCTGGTCTAGAATTGCCTCACTCACGTGGCCAGTGTAAGGTCACTGTCACCTGCAGTGATGGGGTCTCTGGGCCACAGCAAGCAAGACCATGAATGTCTGTCTACATTCCAAGAGAAGCCAGATTCTAGGAGAGCAAGCGGAAGTGTGTGAGTGAGCCTCTTAAGACCTTGGCTTGGGACCTGGGCTTAGAACTGACATACCCACACACCTTCACTTCTACGAATTCTGTTGGCCAAAGTAAGTAATAAGGCCAAGCCCACATTCAGGGGCTAGGGAAAGAGACTCCACCCCTTGATAAGAGGAGCTGCGAAGTCCTAGCTCAAGGAAATAGATTTAAAGAGGAGAATAATTGTGACCATTTTTATAATTAATCCATGACACAGCATAACATGGGAGAGAAATAGCACTTCCAGCCAAATGTGATTTCTAAGTGAGGGCTGAAGTTTTCACCCCATCTCAAAAATTACGAAGTCCACAGGTTAAAGCTTCATCTTACATTCATTATTTCTACTCCTGCCTGCACACACACACATCTTACTTAATCCTCAAGATCTCAGTCTGAAACTAAAGCGAAAGCAATCTATTTACTCTCAGCAATATTTTGTACTATCCTTTGGGGTTACGAAAATGGGATAACATGCCCCTCTTATGAGGATGTGTTCAGGACAGGTCTCTGTGATGTCTCTTCCTGGCTTAGGATGTGCCTACAGATGAAATGTGACAATGATCATCAGAGCCACACCCTCTAAAGGACCCCAGAGCATTAGCATGAGGAGCACCAAAGCATAAGAAAAAACATTATAGGAAAAGATAACACACAAGACCAGCAAATAACCCCGAGGAGCAGGAAACTGGAGCTCCTTGAAGACTACAGGCTGATGCTAATTAGATTTTATTCACCAGCTGTTTTCTAGGCCCTCTTCACTCTACCGCCCTTCTTTACTTACCCTTGTCAGACTGTGATCACTTAGAAAATGCACTAACACTGCAGGGCCTGAATCCACAACTATTTTCCCTGATCCAAGCTCCAAGATGCATGCAGCCTGTCTAGGATGTCGCAGCAGTTATTCTAGCATCTCTACAGCTAAGGTGCTGCTTTCCATTTTTCAGAAAAATCACCATGACCTTCTAGATAGCTCCACTCAAATTCTTTAAATGTTTACATGTGGGCCAGGCATGGTGGCTCATGCCTGGCCACCATGCACTTTGGGAGGCCAAGGCAAAAGGATCACTTGAGCCCAGGAGTTCAAGACCAGCCTAGGCAACAAAGTGGCAGCCTGTTTCTACTTTATAATAATAATTAAAAAAAAGAATACCAGAAAACACAGGATGGTGGAGTGGTGGCCACAGCTGGGTATTGTCTGAAGGCTTTTTGGAGGTGATTCAGCAACTGGTAAGGAGAAGGTACATGTTGCTCAAAGGCAAGGCTATCTCAAGTCCATAGTTAGGTGCCTCTTTATAGATACAGTTTTCAATCTGCTTGGTAGGATCACTGCTTAAAGGACTAAGCAACAGGAGTAGATGAAAAACACAATGAAATAAAAAGAAATGCTAAATTCACCATACGGTTGCCTTGAAAAGTCAAATTCAAGCAGATATTGCATTCAATGTGCTTCATGAACAAACTCCAGGAAGTTCTAAAAACATACCAAACAGGCCACGAATGGGAGTGTATGACAGAAGCACCTGAATGTGTTCAGAGTTCTGAGCTAAGGATTCTGGGAGCAACCAGGATAAGGATAAGGATAACCATTCCTTATCCATGAGGAACATCTGAAGCCCCCATCCCATCCCATGGAACCTGGACCATACAGCGGATCAAGGCCTTTTGATTTGGGTCAAATGAAGGTTGCCAGGTGGAGGTTAGGGGGAGGGGGTTAAGTGAAAATGCTATATAAACTGCATGTTTTTGCTTTTCGTAAGTGGTTGTGGTTTTCCTGTTCAGCCTGCTGCGACTGGACCGTCCCTCTACGTAAGTCACCCCTAATAAAAACCTGTCATGTTTGCTGGCCCTGAGTCTCTTCTTCCACCTCTTGAATTGGTGCCATCCCTACTGAAGTTAACAGGAGCCTGGCACTACATGGAGGAAATGTTGCCAACACTCTCCTAACCTGTATTCTATTCCTGAGCACTGATTCTGGGAGAGAAGCACGTTTGGGGTGGTGATGGTTTTGTACCATAATGTGTAGTATCCAATGTACTGAGAGTCAGGATGGCTATCAGTGCCGTTAACTGCATGGGCGACTTAGAGTGGCTTCTGTTTGTTTTTTAATCATAACTGAAAAGTCATAAATTGGAACCAGCAGTCTCTAGGCAAAATCATCATCATGGCTCCGACCCCCCACTTCTTGCTCACTTGGCCTCCAAATAAGTGGCATTCTTGGATTGTCTTCTAATGAGCTGGCTGATGGGGCTGCAAGCAATCTATGCTTTCGATTAATCAGCCAAGGGGAAACTAGAGCCGCAAAAAAAACAAACTCCTGGCATTATCACCACAGGAACACTGGGCATGACAATGATGAAGTATTGCTGATTTACCTCCAGCAAAAGACACACTGCACTTTCCTGGAACTTAGAAGAGGGGCATTCACCCTAAGAGAGAACTTTTCACCCTACCTGTGACCCTCCCCACTCATACCCTCACTCACAGCCGACTTCATAGACTTCTTATATGCCAGAAAGTTCAGATGTGCCATCTTGGTACACTGTGTTTCAGGGTGATTCGCTGCAGCTCTAGAAACCTAGACATGTTAAGCATAGGCTGCTCCGTACAGGGAATCCTGAAGTTGCCTGCACAGAGTTGCCTAAAACAAACCTGTGCTGCATATTCAGAGTCATCTGGCACAGGTCAAACCTTCACAGGTGTCATGGCAGTACCTCTGGTTTGGGCAATTTCTATTGCATTTCCCATAATGCTCTCCTATAAAACCCCTTAGCTCAGCATCCTCACACTCTGATATAAACACGATGTAATTCCTCAAATTAACTTTACATGTAGCCTCGTCTTTCCTACATTTTTATGAATATCTTGCCAGGTATTAAGTTTGGGCTAGGCCAGGAACCAGAGGCAGCAACTTTATTCCTTCACATGTCAGTGCAATCAACGGCTTGTGTTTAGAATAAATATTTGAGACACAGAAGCCTGTTAACAATACATTGCTTGATTACTTTGAATTACTCTCTCACCCACAGCAACTGAGGGAGAGGGCCTTGGCACCAGCTCCCTGCACAAAACCTGCTTCCCAGCCTCCACCATTTGCCTCCCGACCATTCTCTCAAAGAATTCTCGACACACTATACAAAGATCTCAGTTTTCTCCCTTAAATGCCACCCAAATTCCACATTGAACACAGACTTTTTTCTTCCCATAGCAAGACAGATTTAATTCAATACCTTCATGTTCACAAATATTTAATTGGACTTACCTTGTAACTCTTTTCCTCAAACCCCACCTTGCATCTTTCGTTCAACACTTAACTCCTTTAAATAAAGGGCCTTTTTTGTTTGTTTGTTTGAGACAAAACATCATCTTGGTCTATTACAAAGCTATCGTGACACTTCAGCTTCATTTTCATTAGTCAGAGGTGCCTATCTACTAACATGTCCACAATCCTTCGCACTTTTTCTTCCTCAAAACCTATTTGGTAAGCAATATGGTGTTTTGTTTTGTTTTGTTTTTCTACAGTGCCAAAAGGGTACGCTGTACTAACTAGAGGTAATTAGTATGTTAAGTTTTCTTCCAAGGCCAGGCTATCGGGTTACAGCTTTCTAATAAACCCTCCTGCGAAAAGACATTTCTTTGTCTTGGGACCACCGAGAACTCACCAAACAAAACACCTTCAATTGTCTCAGAAACTCTGCCATCTAAACACAATCAAAAAGAAAACCCAACACCAAAGCAAATAAAATGAATGAAGTGTTCCTGCTGCGGGCAGCCCTTACCATTGGGAGCGGAGGCCCCCTCCGGACCCTCGGCGGGGTTCTGGCTCCTCCTGGGCTGGGGTGAGGGTGGTGAGGGGTCCAGGCGGTGGGTGTGGGTGGAGGTATGCTCCGAGCATGCTTGAACAGGACTCACTGCCGTCTGCCTGCCTGTCTGCCACTCGGTCCTCTTGTCTGGGTGGGAAGGGCCAAGATGAAAAAAAAAATGTGCAGGTTACTCACTGGCCTTCTCGGGCAGGCAGACACACCCAGGAGGAGGGAGAGGCCAGGCGCAGACAGGAGACTCTTCACAGGCTGAGCCTGAGATCTCCCTTCTGATTTCCTTTTGTGATTACTTCCTGAACTTTAAGCTCAGTCTGCATGGGCATGGGTACTTACAGAGGCAAATAACACTTGGGCAATTAGATTCTAAGGGCTTAATGCAAAGGTTACTTCGAAAGGCAGTGCTTCAGCACACATCCTTTTGCATTTCACTCTGAAATTTGTTTCCTCTGAGTTGGAGTGTTAACACTGGCATAGGAAATGAGAGTGAAGGGTTACTCTGGGGCAGGAGTCTGGAAGAGCCTGGAGCAAGCAAACCTGGATGTGATTTAAACAATGAGTTTCTGGAGTCTCACTTTTAGATTGAATTTTAGAGAAACAGGATTCTCAACAGTCTCCCAGTGCCTATGGACTTTGCCTTGTCCAAGAGGCACATTCTTGAAGTAGGTATCTATAAACCAAGATGTTAGAAATGGATTCACATTGTAAATGCAAGAATTTGTTATTTGATAGCCTGACCTCTGATTAATCCTGAAATGAAGCCTTTCACAAATGGATACTAAGTTGTTGGTTTGGGAGGAAGCATGGGTGTTCATAAACAAAGGCATGGCAGTAATACAGCCTAGCAAGATGGAGCAGAGGGTGAAGGAACAGGTACTTGCCTCAATTAACCCTGAAAATGCACTTTCAAAGGAGGATAACTGTTCCTCTTTCACACGTGAGCACACTGAGACCCAGAGGTTAGGGAACTTGGCTCATGCTGGGCCAGCTAGTGAATGGGAGACCCTGGATTTGGACCCAGGTTTGCCTGAACCCAAGACCTGGTATCCTCCCACCACACAGCCAGGAATGCGTTTCACCACTCCAGCACTCACCCTTCCTCCACCTGCAGCTGACCTAAGGCTAGATACCTTTCCTTAAACTTTTATAACTTTTCCAAAACTGATATGCCATGAAACGTAATTCCGTGGGTTTTTAATAAGTGCAATAAAAGTAGAAAAATGTACTATGTAGGTTTCTCTACTGTCGCTTCTCATCGCCTTTCGTATGCTAATATATACACTGTGACTCTCCAAGTTCGGGACCTACAGTGTGCCACGTTCCCCTTTCCAAAGGCAAGGGATCTTCTGAGTTTGGGAAACAGTATTATAGAGATGTGTTGTTCTTTTCTCCTCTTTTTTTTTTTGAAGTTATAAAAAAACTCATTATAAAAAACTTCAAACAGTATATAAGGGCATAAAATAAAAAGTAAAAAATTCTCTGTTATTCTTAACAATCAGTCCCATTCCCTAGAGGTAACCACTGTTAGCAATTTCTTAGGTATCTGATTCAGAAATGTTTATATATATAAAGCATATATGACTATCCTCTTAAAAATAACATAACTGGGATTAAAGGATACCGTGATGTGTTATTTGGCACTTAAAAAAAACTTAATGATACGTTTGAGATTTTCCATATCAGCATATAGAATTGCTTGGGCAAGTTAGAGTCAAGAAAAGTAAAAGTTAGGTCTAAAATATTGGATTACCACTTTATAGAAGCGTCCACAACATGGGCCACAGTACGCACAGAGGGGCAGACTGAGAAGGGAGAAAGTAGGGGGACTCACACCCCTTTAAACATGATTACAGTTGAAGAGATACTACACGTTTTACTCTATGGGTTTAAAAAAAAAGTGACAGAGAAACGAATTTCTTCCCTCTCCCAGCTCTGACTGTCACCCCAATGTATTAAATGAATAAAGCCTTACCCTCGACAACCCCAGCAATCAGTTGCTACTATTATCCTCATTTTACAGATTGAGAGAGCCATCTCAGAGCATGTACCTAGCACATAAGAAGGGCAAAATAAATGCTTGACATTTTATTAATGAAGCAAACATGACATTGGCCACCCTGATTTTTGCCACACTGTGTTCCTAAAAAGCCACACTATAAAGTGGATCCTATTGTCCCTTACGAACAATGTTGTAATTGCAGGTTGTGTTCCAAGACTTCACGTTGTTTTCATATAAATTCAAGACATAATCAACAAACTCTTGTAAAAACAGAGATACAACAATAAATCTCATAATCGTGTAAAATAGTAAAATGATGTTCCATGACTCATATTTTGTGAGATTGGCTCATACAACCCCTCCTTTTTACCGATGATGGAAAGAACATCCAGAAGATTGTGTGGATCTTCTCTAAAAGTATATATCTTGTTACACTGTCTCAGTAATGAAACAATTTTAAAATGTGTCCACATTTGAAACCTGCATTACACAAGGAACTCCTCATACTCCACAGTGTACATACAAACATGTTGTATCACAAATTTGACACAATATTAATATACAAGTCAGAACAGGCATTACTCATTTAACTAGAAACAGCTGACCCTGCCTGCTTCTTTAGAATTAAAAGGTCATTTGAGGAATGATTTGACTGACTCATTTCTTAGAAAAACTGTCGAGGGATAATGCAAATCAATACTTTCCTATTTTCTCAGTATATTTTTCTGTATAAACCAGAGGCTTTCAACAGCATTCCATGGGTTTTATCCCTGCTAACACAGTTGCAGAAGTGTCTTCATAGCTTGAGATATTACTCGGGACCTTAGCTTGATTTGGGATGTAGAGCTTTGACCTGATCCTCCTGTCCTCCTGCCAATTCTTTCTTTTTTATTCCTCCCCACCCATTGTCCTAAGTGAGGAAGCCAACTTGGCAAAACCCCGTCTCTACTAAAAATACAAAAATTAACCAGGCGTGGTGGCATGCACCTGTAATCCCAGCTACTTGGGAGGCTGAGGCACGAGAATTGCTTGAACCTGAGAGACGGAGGCTGCAGTCAGCCGAGATTGCACCACTACACTCCAGCCTGAGCAACAGAGCGAGACTCCATCTCAGAATAAAATAAAATGTGAATTATAATGATTTAATATTATCCAGTATCCAGACAGTATCAAATTCCTCTAAATATATCAAATTTTTTTTTATACTTTGTTCAAGTCAATACTGCAATTGGTTCATAGGTGTTGCCGTTTTATCTAAACATTCTTTTTCCATCTTTATTTTTTCCTTGCAATTTATTTGTTGAAGAACCTGGTTCTTTGCCAGAAAATGTCCCACAATCTACATTTTGATCACGGTATGATTTAACATGTCCCTCTCCCTTTGGAATTTATAGTTAGATTTTAGAAGCTTGATCGCATTTAGATTTGATTTTTGGACAGACTAGCTAGTTGAAAGGCAGTCTTATGTGCTTCCATCAAGAGGCAACTGGCGTTTGATAAGTTCTAGTATTTGTGCACTTAGCAGCCACCGAAAATCAATGGCTTGGTATTATTTCCTAGGGACTGAAAAATGATTTTCTTCCATTTCTTCCTCATTTATTAACTGGGATGCTATTAATACTAAGGTTTATACTTATCTAAAATGAAAGCATACATTTCCCATTTCTGTTTTGGCCATGATATGTTAGACAGCATATATTTTTTCAACCTACATATTTCATTAAAATCTATTTTACTGAGATTATTTGCTTTAATAAATAACTACTCAGATTTCTGTAAAACAACAACAACTGGAAAACACCATTCAGAAACCTTCAAAGAGTGGTGAAGGGCTGGTCCACAGCACACCACTCAAGTTCAAACCTAATTTTGTCACTTGAGAGCTCTAAGACTTAGGTCAAAGCTTTTCATCTTCTTACCCTGTTTTTTTCATCTATAACATGGAGATAATAAAGCCTACATTATAGTTTTTACGAGAATTCATGATAAAGTATGCAAAGAGTATGTTTCAGTGTCTGACAAATAGTAGATACTCAGTAAGTTGTAATCACTACTAGTTTCATCATGGTTTTCCCCCACACCAAGCACAGTGCCTGGCAAACTGCAGCTGCTCAATCAATATCAAGTGAATAACTTCAGGGATGATTGGCTGTATTTTGTCTCAAGCTGATGGTGGCTTTAATAGTTCAAGATACTGGGAATATAGAAGTGAACAAAACAAAATCTCCATTCATGTATTCACATTTAATTGGCTGTAGGAATGGAAAAGGGCATGATTTGCTCCCAGGTTCATTTATCCCAGTCAGCTATTTTGAAAATAAGTACTACTGGTAAGCCACGGTTGAGGAACATTTTACTTCTACTCTTTAAAAACTTCTCTTTTGGGGAAATTCCTGGGAAGAAAGCATCATTACTCAGATATTAAAAATATCTTACCGTATGTTCCCCACATGGGCTTCAGTATACTAAACGTACCTCAGTGCCTTGAACTATATCTACAGAGAGGTAAGAAGACATCAGTTTTCTCCAAAAGAAAGATGTACCAGCATTGCTATCACCTTGACTTGGCCTGAGGTGCTTTGAGGGTTCACTCGGTGTACTGAGTTAAACTGTGTCCGTTGGAAAACAGGCTGATGTCTGCTACAGTCTGGATGTTTGTCCTCTCCAAATCTCATACTGAAATTGGATCCCCAGTGCTGAAGGGGGGTGGCTAATGGGGGATGTATGGGTAATGGGGCAGATGCCTCATGAATAGATCAATGCCCTCCAGGGGGCAAGTGAGTTTTCATTCTATTAGTTCCCACCAGAGCTGTCTGTCAAGAAAAGCCCGGCACCTCCCCTCTCACTCTCTCACAGCCTCTCTCACCATGTGACTTTTGCGCATGCCAGCTTCCCTTGTGCTTCCTACCATAAGTGGAAGCAGCCTGAGGCCCTCAACAGATGCAGATGCCAGCACCATGCTTCTTGTACAACCTGAAGAACCATGAGCCAAATATCTTTTTCTTTATAAATTAACACAAAATGGACTATGATGTCAAAGTCCTACTTCCCAGAACCTATGAATGTGACTTCATTTGGAAACAGGGTGTTTACAGATGTAATCAAGTGAAGACGAGGTCATATTGGATTAGGGTGAACCCTAAATCCAGCCACTGGTGTCGTTATAAGAAGAGACATAAAGACACAGGGGAAAACATCATGGGAAGATGGAGACAGAGACTGGAGTTACGCTGCCACAAGCCAAGGAAAGCCAAGGACTGCCAGCAACTAGGAGAAAGCCCACTGGCATGCTGACTTTGGATTTCTAGCCTCCAAGACTGTGAGAGAATACATTTCTGTTGTTTTCAGTCATCCAGTTTGTGGTAATTTGTGACAGCAGCCCTAGGAAACTAAAACATACAGTGAACTCAGACCAAAAGTATGGATCAACCAGCCTACCTACGGCTTAAACCGTTTAGTGGGAAAGACAGAGAAGGGGTGGGGGAATTCCTAGACAGGAGAACCTGAGTCAGCTTTAATTTGTCTTAGACCAGCTGGGCCCACAGCCGACTCTTCAAAGCTGCACAAGTACCAACAGGTAAGCCTGCTTTACCTGAAAATCAGGCGGGCAGAAACCACAGGACTTGTTGGCGCTGATATGTTAGGAATGAAAATGCCCTTTGTAGGGTAAGGGTAATCTTCCTCCACAGGAGGGAGAGGGGGAATATTAACACCATCCCATGTTGGGGGAGAAGTACTTTATCCTAGGTATCCACCTGTCTATCCTGTCGTATCTCAGGGAGGCTCTATGGCCTAATAAAAACATCTACACACTCTGACGTGGGATGCTCCTTAGCACTCCCCTGCTTATTCAACCATGCCAAGCCTCAGCATACCACCACCTCCTCTCGGCACCGTGAGAAGAATTCAATGCAGTAAGGCAGTGGAGAACCTGGCATGTGAGAGGTGCTGGTCTGGCACCCTTTACAAAGCCATATCTGGATACTTGTGATGGTAAACAGTCGTGGTGGCCACTCACAAACACTCCCCTTGTGTACTAGGCACTGAGCTGGACACTGTAGAGACTCAGTTATGGTCTTTGATAAATGAACTGTGTAAGGGCTTTAGGATTTAGAGATGGTGTCTTTTTTCTTTCTTAAAATTTCATTTACATGATGGTAGTGTTTTATAATAAAATGTCTTAAAATTCTGATCTAATATTTTTAAAAAGAAGTGGGAAAAGCTGTCACATATTTATTAAAAATGTATTTTTTACAACATGGCTCAATTGTTCAGCAAGGCACAGCTGAATCTTGCCAAAGCACTAAGAGAGCCAGTGTCCACCCTCATTTTCCCCTCACCCACACTGCACTCCAACAGTCAGTAGCACATGATTTAGCACTTAATTGGTGGCTAATTATTGCAGGTGTGCTAGTTTTATTTTCCTAGCTTAGCTCCCTCAGGGCAAAAATTACCTCCTTTCACACCATCTATTAGCACCTACTCAGAAGTCCTGCATGACCAAGGATTAGCTGGCCTTACAGTCAGGACTATGCAACAGACTTCTCTCTACCTTTCTGGAGAACGAGCCATAACAAGCTGCTTAGTGATTAAGTTAGAGAAAGAAACGAAGCAGAAGAGACTATGACTAAGAGCTGTGCTCACATTTGGGGTCTGCTAAATAATTTCCCATGGTCCACTCTGAAATGGCACCACCAAAACCATGGGGCAAAACATGCAGGTGGTACTCAGCGATCCAGCTATGGGTCAAAAGCACCTGAGAAACCGGTGTATACGTGTGCAGGCTTGTGTGTGCACGTGCAGCGGCATGTGTACATACCTCAAGGCTAAAGCAATTCAAGCTTTTCTCTTCCTGAGATAAAAAACCACCCTTTCTCAGTGACTGCTAGACTGTATTATTTCTTTATGACTGCCACAGATGCTTTGGGTACTTGCTGGAAGCAAGAAAGAGACTTTAGCCCCATGTGTCTTTGGAAACCGTGGATAGAAGAATTATGCACCAGACACTGCGCTAACTTCTTTACATTTGTTCTTTTAATTATTCCACTCAGAGGTTCTAGGGGGTTGGACCAACCCCATTTCACTGGCTGGAAAACTGCCTAGAAAAGGCAGAGCCAGGACTGGATCTGATGTGTCAGTGACTCCAGCACAGACTTCTGCATGACCACAGTTCAATACTATTGGGAGGGAGGGGACAGAGCCACGAACCAGTATCAGGCAAAGTTGTTAGACCCTAGACATTTTCCTCCCATACCCTCATCCGCTGCCCACCAATAGAAACAATGAACTTTCACTGGAGACCCTCAAATCGCTTCACAAAGAAGGCCTCTAGGCCTAAATCCAGCCATGGATAGAGGGGGGAAAAAAGAGACCCATACTGAAGCCGTTGGACTTGGGTTAAAAGCTGCATTGTCTCTCCTCTCCATGCAGAGCAGCTAATTGAGGTTAGAGCCATAGAAACCAAACAAAAGGCTCTGAGGGGCCCACACATCCTAGCCTAACTGCTGCCAACCACTGTGGGAAGGGCCAGAGGAAGCCCTGCTCGCCCTCATTCCTCAACAGTTTAATGAAGATTTGGTCTGTCATCTTCCCAGGGAACAAACTCCTGCGTGACTGTCTGAGAGAAACTGATTTTTATTCTCAAACAAAACAGTGGATCCTCCTTTAAAGCCAGAAGTCGGCAATAAAATGGTCCATAAACATATTTATGGGGTTATAACCCCCTCAGACTAGGCACTTGGATTTCTCTCCCAGCCCCTGGGCCCGCCAAAACCAAATTCCTGGAGAAGTTCCTGGGCATCATGGCTGGGGAGCGGTGGGAAGGTCTGCAGAGGCTGGGGGCCTCCCTGAGCCGCTGCCACAGATGGGCACTTTTCGGGCCAGATCGTCCATGGTCTCTGAAAGTTATGAGGCTATTCATGCAACACCATCTATCAGCAAATGAGGATATCCAGCTTGCTTTGTACATTTGGGATGATTCTGAAAGAAGTCACACTCGCATTTCAAAATCTCTAAGATTTTATCACATAAATGACACACAAAAAAGCAAAATTTTTTATGCATCATAAAGTAAGGATTACCTTTAAGCCGGCAAAGAAAAACCCAACCATTTTCTTTTTAGACTTATTTTACTTCTACTCTTTAAAAACCTCTCTTTTGGGGAAATTCCTGGGAAGAAGGCATCATTACTCAGATATTAAAAAATATCTTACTGTATGTTCCCCACATGGGCTTGAGTATACTAAACCTACCTCAGTGCCTTGAACTTACCGTCATCTACAACTTTTTGCCATTTCCGTAGAATTAAATTGACAAGCAGACTTTGTGCAAATGAGGACTTTAGCACTTTTCAAACAGGGAATAAGTTGTCATATGAAAAAAAGATTAGGTTTGTTTTTTATGGATTCAAGACATTGTCATAATAACTATAATAATTACAATAATAATAATAATAATAAATTATTGGAAAAACTGACATCTATCCATTAAGCATATTTATTATATCAGTCATTATTTTAAGAGCTTTTTTCTTCCACCTAAAAGTTTTTAGTTTATTAATCTTCCTGTGAAAAATCCACAATGGCCACAGATAACATCATTGCAACGCCTTTACCCCTTCAGCTGTGATCCAATCTCCAGCTCACTGCTAGACACTTCATTTCTTTTTGGCGACACCAACATTGGCCTTTGCAGTCCCCCTGACTTTCCTCATTCTGTTCTTGTGTTCCTCTCATTGCTTTCTTGAGGTCTTTTTCTTCTCATACAGACCGTGTCTTGCAAGTCCATGTTTGGATTCATGTTTCTTTGCACAATCCAAGAAATCATAAATCATGCCAAAGAAAGTTGTCTTGCCACCACCAAAATGAGTTCTGAATCCAGGTACAAAGATGACATCCAGTGTGGTCTTGTACATTTTGGCTAGTTTTTCCCGAATTTCTGTCTTAGGTACGGTACTGTTGCCTTCCCAGGGTGAAGGACATCAATGACCATTTGTTTCCTCTGAAGTCATCAGTTGGTCACGAACTTTCTAGTTCAGATAGTTACCATGTCATTCATGATGGCAGTCTATCCTCAGACAGTCAGGGAGTCTATTCTAAGAGCTTTAAATACATTTTTTTTTTCATTCAATCTTGTCAACAACCCTATGAAATCATTACTCTTACGGCTCTAATTTTGCTGATGAAGAAAACAAAGCTCAGAAAAGTTAAGTGTTTTGTACTGACTCAAACGGCTAGTAAGTAGGGAAGCCAGTATTCCGATCAGGCAGTTTGTTGCCACAGAACTAGTTGTTGACTGTAACATTGCATGAACATGGAATGAGCTTCCTCTCTAGAGAGCAAGTCCTTCAAGACGAGAGGCAGCCACTATGGTACAAGAACTTGAGCTTCACTTGGGATATTGGCAAGTTACCCCATCATGTCCCTGGTGACACCGAGTTCGTATTCCATTATATTAAGCTACTTGGTATCAACATGTTTTTCTAGTTTTGAACAGTTCTATAGTTATACTTTTCACTTGTGTCAGGAAGTTAGTGTGCCATTTAAGAAGCAGAAGGGAGATCAGCTTGTCATGGCAGGTGGCATTCAGATTTCTAAGGAAAACATTTAGATTTGTACACCTGTTCGGAAACTGCCTCTATTTCTTCTTAGAGGCAGGTGGTTAAATACATGCCCTTACCAAGGTTTCTGCTCTAAAGCCAAGAGGCTCATCCCTGAGGCAGATGCTACACAGCACCTACAGCTTGCCCTACTCTTAAGCAAACCCAATGAGAATGGATGTCAGGTTCAAGCATGGCAATAAGGCCAGAAGCAATTCTGATGCTGAATGGCCAGGTAAGATTCCATTAAACCAGCCTTCTCTAAGTCACTGGGCCACCTCCAGGGCACTGGTAATTGGCCAGATCTAATACCCACCTCCGCTCTGCCAGAAGTGAGGTGCAAGAAGCACCCATAAAGAAGTGAAATATTAGATTTGTGGAAAGACTGTTCATTTTGTCTCCCTCAACTACTTTTTCCCTTTGCTTCATTTACTATTAGGATATAATTCAAGTTCCATCACATACAATGGAGCTTACTTACAACACAAAGGAAGTGGGTAATGTATTTGGTTCATCATCCAGCCTTGAATCATTAAGAGGAAAGCTTGACCAATCTTCTAGAACCTCTAAAACAGTGGCAGCAAACCCCTTTTATTATTCTGAGGGCAAAGAACTAGAATTCTAGGCCTCACGCAAGCTCTTCATATCTTTCTCTCTTTCTACTTCCAGTTCCTCTTAGCCAACTGTCTCCAAAATGCCCTTTCTGGGCACGTAGAAAGAAAGAGGGACATGTCCTTTTGTAGGGTATGAAGCATATTGGCTGTTGTTACTTCTCCAAGTAAAGCTGAGCAGAAAACTACTGGCAAGTCTAAGGCAGAAATGGGGCAGAAAGAAGAGTGGAAAACAGCAAGACAAGGAAAGAGAAATGTCCTATCATAGTCTGGTGTGTAATAACAGGGAGCTGGCTGCTCTTTGGACCAATGACTTGCTACCAATTTTATTTATTTAGCGAGAGTCTCATCACCCAGGCTGGAGTGCAGTGGTGTGATTTCGGCTCACTACAACCTGCATCTCCCAGGTTCAAGCAATCCTCCCACCTCAGCCTCCCAAGTAGACTACAGCCACACACCACCACGCCTGGCTAATTTTTTGATGTTCTTGTTGTTATTATTGTTGTTTTTTGGGTAGAGACAGGGTTTTGCCATATTGCCCAGGCTGGTCTCAAACTCCTGGGCTCAAGTGATCTGCCTGCTTCAGCCTTCCAAAATGCTGGAATCACAGGTGTGAACCACCACACCTGGCCTACCAATTTTGAACATAAGAGTTGGCACTAAAAACGGTGACCCATTCTTTATATAAAGACTGGCCAGTGACAGTCTCAAAGACACTATTCGAGAATTAACTCTGTGGTAATGGCAAGAAAAGAAAAAAAAATGAGAAAGAACTAGAAGAAAGAAGAAAAGGTAGAGAGAAGGAGTCTCAATGTATCTTAATCATGACCCTTTCAAAAACAACCAAGTATATCCTTCCCCACCGCAAACACTTCCTGTCATTTCCATCTAATGGAATGTGCAGGGATGGTCTGAAGAGATGCATTCAACAATAAAGGAAGCTGCCGGGTAAGAATATCCAGGGTATCACCTCTCAAGAGTCATCGTTTTTCTTTTGGTTCTGGGGACACAGCTGGACTGTCAGATACGCTGCCACAGGAAAAGGCATGCACCTACAAGGGAGACAGAGGAAAGGGCTGAAGGGAGAGACAAAGACGGAAGCTGAGAGAAGACCCAGATTTCAGAGTATCTCTATGGGTTCTATAAGTTTAATAAATAATATTCATGGATTTACTATGGAGTCAGTCCTGCCAAAACCTACACTTGGACTTGAAACCTAATTGAAGAAAAGTCATTCAAAAATACCAAAATGAGTGAAAGCACGACCAAAAAAAATTATTTTAAGAGTAAGAATTAATGGAGCATATTTAGGGGAGAGAGAATTTAGGAAGGGGAGAGAGAGAGAGAGACAGCTATACACACAATATTAAGAGGAGGCATCTGAAGAGGTAACAAAAACAATGCAAGACTTCTTGTATTTTGTAGAGCTCAGCAGCACAAAGGTTGAGTGTCTGGTAGGGGCTGCTCAGGACTGAGAAATGACCGAAGGTGTACGGCGGAAGGTCAATGATCAGAATTCTAAGGCTATTCGTACAGAATGTACAGAATTCTAAGGCTAACTCTAAGGACTAAAGAAAAAACTGCCCTTGGTGTTGAGGCTGAGTCAGAAGGCAAGTGAAGCCAGGGGACTACAAAGAAAGACATTTCAGGTGAAAATGAGATCCAAAATTCAGCACGCCGTAGAAAAGCTGCTGAAAATGGGTAATTCCAATTATACCTGCCATCTATGTAACAGTCACAATTTGTAAGTTAACTTACCACTGCATACCTCATTTCATTCCTCAATAAGCTCTGTGAAGTGGTTAGGTAGGGCGGGTATCCTTGTTACCACATTCCAGGAAGAAACTAAAGCTTAGTGGGGTCGGGTGATTTCCCAGGTGTTATGGCTGCTAAGTTTAGGGAGAGTGAGGACTCCTAGTGAGCTCTTCTGACTTCTACTCCAGTGCTTACTCCACTATACCATCACTCAGGAGCACCAGAAACATCACTAAGGGGAAGGTGGATTTGGAAAATACTTAAGTGAAGGGCCAAAGTCAGCAATGTAAAGCACATGACCTGCATGGAGGGTGGTAGAAGTGGACCCTGCTGGTCTGTGGAAAAATGTGGAACGATGACAGCTCAACATGGCATGAAAGTCACCATGGGGAAAGGAGACTATGCCAGTCCTTCCAAAGTTGAGGGAATTAGGACCACAAGGAGAAGAAGGGAAGTCAGGCAACTTTAAGGAATTATATGGAGCACAATGTACAGGTAGAAAAGGTAGGACTATCTCCTCACCATCAACAAGGATTTGAAGGATACAAGATGGCTCAGGATTGAGTGAGTGAATGAATTAGTGGGTGAATGAATGAAAGCCAAAGACGCTGGGCAGAGAGGCTTTAACCTCAGATGAGTGATCAGCAGGAGCAGGGATGAGGATGACCATGGGTAGAGAAGAGGGTGGGAGCTACAGCAGTGACAGGAAAGGAGGTAGCTGTTGGGGAAGCTGCAGAACTTTTCCAAGGTTCTTAGTCTTAGTCCCAAGATTCTAACTGTAATAATAAATTTGAGGATGTGAAAATCACTGTGAGCTTTAGAAAAGACAATGTATACGAAAGTGTCTGGCAGTGCCTGGCAAATGGTGGGTGCTCAGCAACCTCGGATTAAAACAGAAGTCAAGTCACATGGACCCTGGGAAATGTGCTCCTCACTATTGACCTTTGTGTTTCAATCAAATATTTACTGTATACTATTATGGGTAACATGTGGGAAGTGATCTAATAATGAATCAGACATTGATATTGCTCTTACCCTCCGGGCACATCTGATACAGATTACAGTGTAATGTGGTAGTAAATTCACCTGTTCAGCAGATAATTATTGAGCATCTACTATGTGCCAGGCACCGGTGATACGCCAAGGACAACAGAAAGTCCCTGTGCACATCGAGTTCATGTGGGCACAAAGGACAATCCAAATCAGACAAATCATTTCAAGTGGGGTTAACTGCAATGGAGAAAGACAAAGGAGAGTAAAGAGGTAGAGAAGAAAGAGGGCACAGGAGACCCTATTTTACTCATGGGATGGTTGGGGAAGACCTGTAGGAGGAGGTGACAATTGAGCAGAGACATGAACGGAGTGAGGGAGTGAGCCGTACGAAGATCTTGAAGAACGACCTTCCAGACAGAGGGAACAGCAAGAGAAAAAGCCTAAGACAACAGAAAGTATGAACATGAGAATGCGGGAAGTGGTGACTGACATAGTGCAGCTGCTGAGATAGCAAAGAAGTCAGTCTTACTTTGTGGTGTCGCTTTATGTATATGGGGGTGTCACATTATGATATAATAGGAAATATAAATTAGGTACAGTGGTATGTGCCTGCAATCCCAGCTATTAGGGAGGCTGAGGTGAGAGGATCACTTGAGCCTAGGAGTTCAGGAACAGTCTGGGCAATATGGTGAGACTCCAGCATAAATAAAAAAAGAAAATAAGATTTAAAAAAAGAAGATAAAAAGAAAAAGAAAAATATGTTTGGTTTCTACCCCAGGTTCCTAAGACAGAACTCCTAAATCTCTTGTAGATACAGGTGGTAGGAGAATCTTCTGTTCTAATACTTGGTTGTTGACCCCGATTCTTGACACAGACATCTTAAGTTCCCTGGAATTTCTTGGGTGAAAGGAGCATCTTTTGTCCTAATGAGGCAACCCTTGGTGGACTTTTGAACAATGTCAGGATAGGAGCTGGTTGCCAGGGGAACCAACCATGTGATTAAAGGATTGGAACTTACAGCCTCCTCCCCAACCTAGGAAGGGGAGAGGAGCTGAAGGTTGTGGTGATCCCCAATCAATGGCAAATGATGGAATCAATCACGCCTATGTAATAAAGCCTCCACAGAAAACCAACAGGACAGGGTTCAGGGAGCTTCCAGGTAGGTGGACACACGTGAGTGTCAGAGAGGGTGTGGACGCTCTCTCCACATGTCTTGCTCTGCATGTCTCTTCTGTCGGGCTGTTATCCTTTAAATAAATAACCAGTAAATATAAGTACAGTGTTTCTCTGAGTTCTGCGAGCTGCTCTAGCAAATTAAATTTAAAGAGGGAGTCATGAGAATCCCAGATTTATAGCTGAAGCAACTGGTATCTTAAGTGGGGGATAGTCTGTGGACTGAGTTCTCAACCTGTAGGGTCTGACACTATGTCCCGGTAGATAATGTCAGAATTGAGTTAAATTATAGAGCATTTCGGTGGTGTCTGCTGGAGAACTGGTTGTTAGCAGGAAGCAATCCTCACATATTTCGGTGACCAGAGGTGAAACATTCTGTATTGAGATTAAGAGTGAGAGAAACACTTTGGTTTTTTCGATCCTTAATGGGAGGCATAATAAGGAATCAAGGAAAACTTCCGGAAGGTGCTGGCAATTGAGCTGAACCTGGACAGAAATGCAGCATTTGGTTCCACAGCAAAGGAACACTGTAAACAAAGGCCCAAAGGAGGAAAGCAAAGAGTGTGTGTAGGGAGCAAAGAAGAGTTTGGTTTGGATGAAGAGGACACTTGATAGAGGGAAGTGGTGGCCAATCAGGCAGGAAAAGTGGAGGGAAGTAAGAAAGGGCAGGAGGAAAGAAAGGGCAGGAGGAAAGAAAGGGTAGAAGGAAAGGAAACCTTAATTTTTGAAAATGTATTATCTACTAGGCACCTAGCTAGGTTCTTTGTCTTATTTCATTTAATAAACACAGCTACCCTAAAACATCCCCATTGTAATAGATGGCAAACTGAGGCTAGGAAAGGTTAAACCCCAGAGTGAGTTATGGATGTCAGCCTAAAGAAGTCAGGGTTTGGCCTGGTGCGGTGGCTTACGCCTGTAATCCTAGCACTTTGGGAGGTCAAGGCGAGTGGATCACGAGGTCAGGAGATCAAGACCATGCTGGCCAACACAGTGAAACCCAGTCTCTACCAAAAATATGAAAAAACTAGTCGGGCGTGGTGGTGGGCGCCTGTAGTCCCAGCTACTCGGGAGGCTGAGGCAGAATGGTGTGAACCCAGGAGGCAGAGCTTGCAGTGAGCCGAGATTGAGCCACTGCACTCCAGCCTGGGTGACAGAGCAAGACGCCATCTCAAAAAAAAGTCAGGTTTTAGGCAGGGGAAATCATTGAAGGTTTGTAAATGCAGGAGGGACACAGGCAGAACAGTACTGCTCTGGGATTAACCTGGCACACAAGGTGGATGGCAGCTCAGGGGTAAGCGACCAGCAAAGACAGTGCAGATCTCCAACCATCACTGTGGGGAAGAACCATCTTATTTCTTTCACATTCCCAAGGCCCTGAGGTACAGTACTAGGTCGATATCAGGTAGCCAGCACTTTTTTAACAGACTACCCAATTTAAAGTTCAGAGCCAAGAACAGCATAGTTCCTGTTC